TGATGTCAGACAGTACCTCTGAAGGTGGCGTTACTGCTGATGTTTTGCCTCTGTCATTGCGCCTGCTTCTGCCTCCCAAAGCGATTGGGATTCAGAGAGGAGAGGTTAAGGAGTGCAGGAGGCTGACAGCCTCAACTCTGAGAGCCACTGAGGAGTCATGAAGTGAGTGGATCAGTGAGTCGGCGCTCACGCAGAGACAGGAGGCGAGCTTCCTGAGAAACGTTTCTTTGATGTTCGTGCTTTGTCGGAAAACGAGAGAGAGGAGGGGGGACCACACGGCAAGATGGGGGTGACAGGTGATAGAGGTCCCAGGTCAGGACTGAAACGAGGACTTCACTCTGTGCGAGCTTCATCCTTCCCTTTCTCTAACCAGGAGTTTGAGTGAGAAATGAGAAGTCTTTATTCCATTTTTGTCTTCTCTCATCTTGCTTCGTCTGAGCTCCATTGAAGTTTATTTTTCCTCTGTAGTGTTTCAAACTGATCTGCTGACAACCGAGTTCTGAAAATGCCCAGACCTAGATTTGGAGCTGCATTCATTCCAGCATTTTCTACTGTAGGTGGCACACTCTTCCTGCAGCTGTGACACTGTAAAAGTCTTCCAGCCGTCGCCTCCTGCTTCATATCATTTGGAAGATGTCTTTAGATTCGTAGCTACTGTTAAACGCACTTTGATTTCTCTGCTTACAAAGAAATGTACAGACTCAGTTTGTACAGCAACACTGCAACCAAAAAGGGACGTTTGCTTTATTATGTATCTGTGGAAGTGCTAAAAAAAAGTCATTTGGGTTGCCAACTTGGTGACTTTTGCTTTCCCAACTTGACATATTTCAGTTTAACGGCGAACTTTTGAGCACACGCTGTTCTAAAGTGGGCCCAAAACAAACGCAGACGGTGACTCAGCATTATTGATTGAGCTGTCACTCAAGGTACTTCAAAATGCATCCTTATAACTGTGGCTTCAGGACGAGCGAACAGAGATTGAATAACTTTGAATTTTAAAATCCACCAGCTACTGTAGCACACTGTGAACTGAGCTGTTTTCCAACCAGAAGTAGGAAGTAACGCTGAGTCTTGCTTTTGCAAAATTTAGTGAACTCGTCATATGAGCTGATCTGTAAGCACTCAAGCAAAGGTGGAAAGAGAAACCTGCTTAATCTTGGTGGGTTTTCCTGCCCAGACTTACCCGCTGCACTTCCTGCATATCAATCCCATTCACTGCAGCTCAGCTAACTTGTTTCTTTCATCACGTTTGAGCTGTTGAACCCCGCTAGAATAAAGACCCAAATTGTTGTTTGGTTTGATCCCTTCCTAAAATATGGAAGCTTTGTCCCATTTTGTGTGTTTGTACAGAACCGATCTGAAAGTGTCTGTCTTTTAATCGTCAGCCTAAATTGTCCCGCCATTGTGAACGCTGCTAATCTGCTGCTCAGTGCAGCACCACACAAAGCAAAGGCTGTTTGACCTCTAGGCAAGATAGATGCAAGGCCTTAAAATGTGTTTATATTGGCATCATATCCCTCCAGGAGGTGCAGCAGATGCAGAAGCAGCTGGCAATTTGAGCAAATCCAACCAAATTGAGTTCATCCGTTGGGTGTATCACACCTTCCTCTCGGTGTGTGGATTCCCTCCTGTCCATAACTTGGTTTTCCTCGAAACATTACGTGTCTTTTCATCCATTTAACTTTATGTGCTTTTTTCGATTTGTCCACAAGACTGCTTTGAGGTTTTACTGAGGTGGAAAAGTCGACCGATAAAAGCAAAATGCAACAGGAATGGATTACATGAAATATCTGACTTCAACATCCACTGTGGCTTCTGCTCCACTGAGGAGTTCTGTGTGGAGCAGAAGGGAGGCTGTGACCTTTCTTGGAATGAACACTTGACATAACAGACTTTTCATATTTAATCATCTTTTCTACATGGTTTTTCTTTGATGTTTCACTGTTACTCCTTTAATTCCACCTCTCCTCCTTTGGTTGTGACCTCTTCTTCTGTTTCTTTTCATTGGCGTCCAGCTGAAGAATTAGTGCCACCAACTGTTTATTCTGACAAACCAGCTCCTAAAACCAACACAGTGGGAGCAGGTGGAGACACACATTCATTTCTGTTTGTTGATTTTCTGCAGATATCTGTTAAAATTTACGCTGACTATTGACGGCAGGAGAGGCTCTGTCTTACCAGTTCTCTGCCGAAGTGTTAATCCTCCATCCCTGCTCCCTTTTAAGGGTACGGAGGTGGAGGAAAGTATGGATGTATGGCAGCCAAACAGAACAAACCCTCCATGTCCTCTTCGTCTCAGGTCTCCAATTTGAGCTTGTAGACACCATATCATGAACTTAGCTGTTCAGCAGCTTGTGTTTAAGCCTTGATGGCATTTCCTACAGCCTGATATGACCGTGGTTGTCAGCAGGAGCAGCACTTACACTCTCAGTTTCTCTTTTTCACACACGCTTCCCTCCATCCGCCTCTCCTGTTTGTTTGCTTGCCCCCCGATGGGACGCGGTTTTGCATTTTCGGTGTGTTTTCCTGTGCGTCCACGCAAGTCTGCTCGAGTCTCGGTGGATGTCTGTTTGCCCGCATGTGTATTTAAAAGTGTGTTTCCCCCTCCGACGGCTCTCATTTTTTCAGGGTTACGCTTTTACGACTTCTCATCATGGAGAAAGTCTCTGAGGGAAACCACAAATGATACAAACTTATGAGAGGCGGCAACTTTAAAGGAGGAGACTTCCTGCTTCTAACAAAGACAAAAAGAGCGGGAGAGCGATGTTTTTAATTGAGAGCGGTGTGTGAGGTAAACGAGGGGAAAAAGGATTATTTCATCATGAGAAGCGGTTCGGTTTTATGAGGGAGTTTCTTGGGAAACCATCTGAGATTCGGAGAAAATCCAAACTTCATCAGCAGAGAATCAGAGAAAGAGTGATCCTACTTTTTGAGTGGCAGATCTTACATTTCTGAGGGGATTTCCACCATCCGAAGTCCTTCATGCTGCTCAGACCTGTATTGCTATTCTGCTCTAATCCGGGGATAACAAGAAAAGTTTCAACAGGCAGCAATGTAGAAGTCAGTGTCTTTATAAGGGCTGTTACAGATAGTTTTCTTCAGTCCCAGAATCTCACTTCAAGCCTAGTGGGAAGAAAGATTTCCTCCATGGCTGTCGGTGGAAATTTGTATCAAACGCACCCGCAGCACAGTGGGAAGAAGTGAAGCCTTTTCTGGTTCAGTATGTAATTTCTAAGGTGCTGCGTGGCTCTTAGTCGGAAGGGTCTGGAAGGAAATCTCCCACAGTTCAGAGCACCGGTGAAGTTTTTCGGTATAACCGCCACTTCCGAGATGGAGCTCGGTCCGTCTTCAGTCTGGCTTTCCTGACGCCAAGCACTTGGAGGCCAAATGTGATTCACATCTTTCGTCTTCGGAGGCTGGGGAAACCGCAACAGCTGTCCAGATCAGTCTGTCTGCCGACGGACAAAGCGTCGCTTATCAGTGGGCTTATAGGCTCTAATGAAAGACAAAGCGGCTGTTAAGAGCTTTGGTTGACAATACAAAAGATTACTTGACATGCTGCTCTTCCGGCTTTGAAAGATATAGTTAGGAAAGTGAATCCACCTGTTAGTGCAGACGTCCTGTGATTCCTTCATTAAATAAGTGACTCACTTGTGTAAAATCGTTGGGTTTTTAAATTGTTCTGGCTTGTGTCAGGTTTGCAATCTTCTTCGTTGTAGACGTCTGTGTTTGAGCCCTCCAAAGTTTTTGTGAAGGAGGTTTCATTTCAACCTTGGTGTCCAGCAGATGTCTGAAGCACCGCATTTTGTCTTTCATTTGGATTGTGCATCTGCAGTCAGAGCATGCTGTCGTAATAACATCGATCTCATGTCAGGATGTTTGTCAGAACCGTTTATGCGCCCTCCCCCAGAGAAAGATCATAAACAGTGTAGTTCTCGGTGCAGTCAAAAGCGTGATGAAATATTTGTGTTTGAGTAGCAAGGATGTGCAAGGAGTCTGAATGTTTAGACAGCGCTCCCTGGCAGGACATTTACCACTTTGCTGTAGTGAAGACTGAGAGGCTGAGCAGGACGGGCGGCGTGGAGGGGATGTCAGCGCCTGTCGAAGGTTATCGATGTCTGTCAGGCTGAAGTAGCCTTCAGGGGAAAAGCCAAAACCTCATCTTTTCTAACCTTGCATCATTCTGTGTGCAGTTTAAATGCTCTTTATTACCTTTTCAACATTTGGCCATCTGCTCTTCTTGTTCATTTATGTGTAGCTTGTTGGTCTCTTTAAAGCAATTTGTAGTAACTGTGTTTTTAAAAATGTAGTTTTGTGAGTTTTTTTTTAGGTTAGTTTGACTAAATGTACCAAATGGCACCAATGTCACCCATGTTTTCCTTCCTAATCTATTAATTCTGTGTTTTTGAATGCAAAATTACTAAAATTCCATCAGAAAAGTAAGAATATCCTAAAAATGTGTTTCCAAATATAATACTCTAAATACAAACAATCAGTAGAAAAGGTTTAGTCATGTGATTCATCTCTTTGCTACGTCATAGTTTGGTTTGGAAGTCTGCTTCTGCCACCGTTTTTGTGTCGAAACTGATTTAAAAATGTTAAATGTTTCATATATCCTGCATTTTTCCATCTCTATACACCTTCTCATGCACTATTTAATGCTTCCAGAAACACTTTGCTCTGGAAACTTGGCTTCAGCAACTTGACAGTTTAATGAGCATCTACAACAACTGATTCTTAACCATTCATGTTCAGAGTATATAATCATTTTACTTCTGTTCCTTAAAGAACCCCACATCCCACCCTCGCTGATTGCTTTAATCAATGATCTGCTGCGGATCATTTTGGGTTTCTTTTGAGATCTAATGGACCATTCTACCTAAAAGTGTAAAAAATGTGTAACCCTCCCACTGTGTGTACACACACACACACACACACACGCCTCCTCTTTATCTGTGTTTTCCACACACGCTGACAGAGTGTTTGTTCTGTTGTTGCAGATTTACACAGACTGGGCCAACCACTACCTGGCCAAGTCTGGCTGTCCACGCCTCATCAAGGACCTGAGCCAGGACGTCACCGATGGAGTCCTGCTGGCACAGATCATCCAGATCATAGGTGGGCATCTGCACACACACACTTTCTATTCTCCGTTATCTGCTGCTGCTGTATTTATGTTTTCGTCGTGTAAATATACAGCCCTCCAACTTACTGAACCCACTCTAATTATCTAATCAGCTGGAATCGGCATAGACATCATGACAGGACAGAAACACTGACATTTGCTATCCAAACAGTGTATCGTCTTACTTCAGCTATAAGCGTCAATATTTAAAGAGGATTATTAATGATGTACAGATGGATAAAACCATGTATTATCAACAGTATTCAAACACTGCATGTGTCTATAATTCATTCTGTCTGCTAGATGAAGCGATTAGCCTCTCTGTCTCGCTCACACTCGTGCTGTTTGGTCTTTCTTGTGGGGAGCTGGAGCAGAGCTGTGCCTCAGTCTGATATTTGGGCCAAATCGCAGCAGCTCTCCTGTGTTTTGGGTGCTGGGCGAGCTGCAGCAGCAGAGATCTATGACTCTGACACCCAGGGGTGCAAAGGCTCCAATTGGAGCCTAGAGAGTCTTTACATCTCTCTCTCTCTTTGTCCCACATGTGTCTATGTCTCTCGTCCTCTTTCGTTCTCTCCTTTACACTTGAACTTTTTCTGGGTCTCTCTCTCACATTTTGTCTCTGTCACTCCTTTTATATCTTTTATTTCTCTGTCTGATCTTGCTTTCTCATTTCTTTTTGCTCTCTCTCTCTCTCTTGCTCTTACCAGCGCTGCGTGGGAACACATTACTCAGCAACACATTACAGTAACATGATTACCTCTTTCGGGGACTAGTTTAAGGGATTCAAATTAAAATGCTGTAATCTCATTACAGCCACTACTCTCCGTGACACTCTGTTAGTTTAACATTTGGGGCCGAGGCAGCGCTTTTTTGCTGCCTCGCTGGGAGCTGGATGGACGGGGATTGATCGGATCTTTCATCTTGTGGACAGACGGGTCGGTGATGTGTTGGCTAAGTGCAGCAGCAGGAGGGGTCTCCTGACACAAATGAATGGATCTCTTAGTCATGAGTTTTTGGATGCACACAGAAGGGTTGAGCGTATTCAGGCCAAATCAAAGTTTCTGTTTCCATGTGGAAGGTTAATTTCATCATCAACACAAGTGCACTGGAGCCTACCTCTCATGAACTTGGGTTGATGCAGGGACACCATTGCTGCATCCTGGGCTTAGCACCGCCCAAGACGATTGTGATTGGTTTAATGATGTGCAGTCAGACCATTCCTCCAGCATTGTGGAGATTGGTCTAGCTATGCAATGATGTTCTCGGTGGACATCCATGTGCAACCCAAAATTTGTAACCGTGCAGCAAGGGCGCTGACTGTGCATGTGCAAACAAAATAAATGTTATTTATATGGAAGGAGATTCTTCCTCATCCACCTAAACAGGTGTATTTGAAGTTGTCACTGCCATTAGTGGTGTCCAAGCAAGATTCTAAATGCTCCAGAAATCTCGTGCTGTGTTCCTCCACTGTTCTCAACACACCTCACCAATAATCACTGACATTGTGCCTCAGCCCAATCTGTAGCTAGCTGGTATGTCATGTAAAAAGTCAAAAAAACATCCACAAGAGCCTCGTTTTTTATTTATTTATTTATTGCTGTGTTCTGTGTTCAAGTCCACATTCAGTCCAATACGTCCACAATGGTCATGTGGAAATCATGAATTGCTCTTTAGGGATGTACCTAAATATAAATGCATCCTTTGTAAGAGCACAAATGATGAAAGTTGCTTATTATTGTTTGATAGAAAATAAAAACTGACAAGTCTGTGCGTCAGCTGATATCTTCTGTTGCATTCAAAACATTGCGAATGACCACAAGAATAAAAGCCCGTATTGTTTCAAAAGAAGACACAAATTTAATTAACAAGACATTTCATTTGTGACACAATGCTGAAAAGTGATTACATTGTTCTGTAGTCGACTCCACCAAGCCGTCACACAATAAGTTCAGAACAGACTCACATATCAGCATCTGTCATGTACAACTGTATGCTTTTCTTATATCTGAATACAGAGACAGAGACAGATCATTTTCTGGGTTAAACAGACCCAGATAATGACGTCTCTGTACACTTCTAGTGCTTATTATGACAACTGTGTCTGAGAACAGTGACAGAAGAATGGGATGAATGATTGGATGGACAGACAGAGTATACAGAGTAACTTAAAGGCTTGGATTTACATTGTCCCCATTCTGTTTCCTACCAGCAGTTGATTTCTTTAACTCTCGTCACATTTTTATAACCACGCTGTGGTCTCACTGTTCACGGCAATATAAATTCCTAGTCATTAGTAAAGTCATTAACTAGCTTTAACCAAGTAGTTTTCAGCCAACTTCAGGACTTTTTCTAATCTGTTTAAAGGCACTCGCAAACAACGTCACTCATCAAATGCACCATGTTGGAAGGATATAAGACAAACTTTTGTTGTTAACTTCGAATGAGCTGCTTTAAAGCCTGTATTTAGGACTCAGCTGGTTTTACCTCAACCTCGTGGCGAGAACAAGGCTTCGGGAGCTACATGCGATCCCCGGGGCCGAGCTCGCTGTTGATGTTCAGTAAATACCTCCAAACCGACAGCTTGCTGAGGCCAGTAATCACCGCTCGCTGACGAGTAATGAGTAATTCATTACAGTTCTTTAAAACTCGCCCAGAAGCGGCTCTTACGCAATCTTGTCTTAGTGTCTTTTTAGACACTTCTCTTAGACATTCTTTTTCTTCTGTCTGCCTTTGCTCTCTCTGTCTCTGTCTTTTTCCTTTGTGTCCCAGTCAGTGTTTAAAACTTCTCTCTTTCTGGGACTCCCTCTCTGTATCACCCTCACACACACACACACATTTTCCTGTTTGTTACGTATGCTGCCTTTCTTACTAATGCTGTCTGTCTGCCTAAATCTGTTTTTTTCAGCCTCTCTCTTACTTCCTCAGTCTTACATTCCCTCTCTCTCTCTCTCTCTCTCTCTCTCCCTCTGTTGGATTGAAACTTTACCCTCCCTGCTCGCCCAAACAGACAATGAGGCCAAGCTGGCCTGTCAGTAACTCTCTGGCGGCAGCTGACGAATTAGGCAGCTTTGCTTCCCAGAGCTCTCCTGCATCGCTCTGCACCTCAACGCACACGCGCTCATGCACCTACCCGTGCACGCTCCCACGCTGATATCAACAGAGGTTTCCTGCTGGATCTGTACACCTGAACTCAGAAGTCACAGGATGTTAAATTTAAGCGTGGGACAACGGTAAAAAAAAAAAAGAAAGAAAGAAAAAAGCTCATTTGTTCGTTTCCTTTCTCACGCAGCGAATGAGAAGGTGGAGGATATCAATGGCAGCCCCAGGAGCCAGTCGCAAATGGTGAGTGTAACTGTTGTATTCAAAGTCATCCATCCTTTAAAGCACTGTTGCCTGAGAGAGAATTATGTTAATGAAGAGTATTTATATGAAGCACTGACTTTCACTGCTCGGCTGTAGTGGGATTTTGCATTCGCAGTTTTGTGCTTTATGGCTGAATATAATAGAGAGCAGTAGTGATAGAAACTTACATTCTAATATTATGAGAATTACATGTAGCCAGTGTGGTAACACAGACCAACACGATCAGCATTTAGGTGATGCTCTAATGACAAGAGCACAGCATCATCTAGCATCATAAATCCCTGATTGGAGATTCATTTATTTATCACTTAACTAAGGCTGGGGAAAAAACATAATACCACCTCACTTAATATGGATATATACGGACGTGGATTCTGTTCTGCTCTGTTTTGATTGATGTAATCAAGAGATGAGATTAAAACGATAGATTTATAAATCATTACAGTGGTAGAAAGTAACTGTGTGCTTTTTTTAAAGTACTCTACTGACTTGTGTGCTGCTTTCTGCTCAACTGCATTTCACTGAAAGACTTGTTGCTTTACAGATTGAGATTTGAGGTAAAAACTACATCATGATTACACCTATGGAAGACAAGATATTTATAATTTATAGGCTGCTTTCAATCTTTTTAGCTTGTTGTCTCTCTCGGGACACCTGTCACTTTTCAGATGTCTGTAAACTGTTAGCAAAATCAAAAACAGAGATTTTTCCTTGTATATTTTACGTTTTCTTTTATATTAGATTAATCAAAAATATGCCAAATTAGCTAATATTTAACACAAAAATGATTACAGAACAGTCCAAAAAAGCCTCTGTATTTGTGGTAATTATCTCACAACCTGTCGCATTTACAATATGAGCCTTTGGAGGGATGCAACTCTTTCACTAACCAAAGAATGTAGTTATTTTAAAAAGTTAAAATGAGCTACATTTAGGCAATAGGTGCGTTTATGTTTGATAGAGTACATTTTGCTGATAATACTTTGCGAAAGTAGAAATTTGAATAAAGTACTCCCACTCCTTTTTTTTTTTTCTGCATTGATCTAAGTACTTCTGCCGCCACCTGTGATACCTTGACAAAGGAACACCACTAACGAGCACCTTTACGTTTGAAACATCCACTGAACTGTCATCGTATGCGTCCAGCTTTAACCGAGCTGACTAGAATCGTGTCGGATCGGAGCCACTCACACATACTTAATACTCAGAGAGATGGCGATGATTGGTGTAACCGCATCGCCACTTGACCAAAAAAAAAGACGCTAAAGCCGTGAAAAGTTCAGACCTTACCATCTTTGACTTACTGTGCCATTTTCAATAATCTGTACCTCTGGCTGCCATGTGGCTGAGCGATGCTGGCGGTGTCGTGTTTCCTCTGTTAATGAGATGACGGCCTGTATAACCGCTGATTGTCGTCACTCCGAGATAATTGCCCCTCACTTTAACTAGAGTTGACTAAGTGTTTATGCAGTGTCGGTTTGCCCTGGCATCTGCCCTCCTGCCATTAAAAGTGACTAAAGCTCTTTAGCTGCTTCGGCTCACTTTCTTAGTAAGACGCTGTGGGTGAGCGGACTGTTGGGTCCTGGCACTGTGTCTTTTTGTGTGCCGGTCTTTGTGCCTCTTTGTCATTGGATCTGAGGGGTGAGCTTTTCATGCCTCTTGACCAAACAGGCATCAATATTTCAATTGTCGGTTGGTGTTAATCGTTGACTTCCAGAAAACACAAGTGGGTGGATTTCATGAACTCTCTGGAGACGTGTGAAGAAAATCACAGGAATATGCCAAAAAAGTGTTTTACAACTGCTAAGGGTTGGGGTGAGGGCAAAGGTTTCAGCTGTTTTTATGTTTTCCTCCATGGTGTGTCCAGCTGTAGTGGAAGCAGCCAACATTAAAGGACCAGGAAGGAAGAAAATGTGAAGGTCATGTGAACTCTGCTAACCCCGAATGTTAGTTCAGTGTGTCAGAAGCAGTTCTGACCAAACAAACTACTATGCATTTATTTTTCTTGTCACAAACAGTGATTCTAGAAACAGCTGACTGACGCATTGGTCACTCTGCTGCAGCACTGCAAGTACGTGACTCGATACTCCAGCATCGTCCGTGTGTGTTTGTGCGTGCACGCAGCTCGCTCTTTGTCTCAGTCACTTACTAAGCCCATTGATCCACCACCTGCTCCGACCGCAGAGGGTCCGGCCAGCTTGGGAAAATGAAGTCTGAGGAAGCACGGTTGCTTATAGTGTGGGCGAAAAGGGAAGGAAATATCTGACATACAAACACTTCAACAAAGACGCAGCCAACTAACAAAACCACTGTACGGAAAAATCGATGTTCACACTGTGGCAGGTGAAAGGAGCAATTTGCTAAGTAGTGTGTTTGAAGACGTGCCAGTGCTGAGTTTGCATCAGGATAGTTTCAAAAAAAAAGTTATCAACAGCAGAAAGTCAGGCAGGGGCAGAACTTTTGCTAAATATACTGGAAACAGGTTTAATACACAGTTGTAAAGCAGTTTGAATACATGAGTTCATTGTATTGTGTTAAGAGTTAAAGCAGTCGCACAAATCTGTGTCCAGTGTTTTATGAAGATGTCAATGTGGACATTTGCAGACTTTGGGACTAAAGACTAAATCTGTCACGCTGATCCTCACGTTGATGTAGCAACCAGGATATCACCTTAGCTGGTTTGCTTAAAAATCTCTTCTCCCCATTTTTGGTTATATTTATTTACATGAGATTGAGCTGTCGTCTAAAATTGCTTATAGTCAGTGTTAGACTAATCTCCACAGTGTTGGAAAATGGTCTGACTGTGCCTCATTGTTCTTCTGCTAAAAGGAAAGAGAAAAAAAAAGGTTTTGTATTCCTTTAAACCAATCACAGTGGTCTTGGGAGGTGCTAAGCCCAGGATGCAGTGATGGTGTCCCTGCAAAGTAGTGATGGGTGAATTGTTTTGGTGCATTTGCATACTGGAAAGCACCTCCTTCAAAACTGCCAATTCACCAAAAAAAGAAAAAAAAACAAGCAACCTGCCTCATAGCATGATCCCAACCTTTATCATAACTTGACCTTTTCAGCATGTAGGTTAGTAGGTCAGAGGTTGTTGTTTTTCGTACTAAATGGGGATTTTGAAAATGGTCGTACTTTATAGTGGAAGGGGTGGAGAATGCACTGCGAAAAAGGCCAGATTCATACCCAAAGTCTGAATTTGGTAAATTAGACTATTTTTGTGATATTGGACACTACAAACAAACATTGGAGCAGTATTTTACACTCTGAATCCACAAGTATGCAAGAGTCAGCGATTGCAAAAGTGAGAAATTTTGTCATCCACTGAAGTTTGCAAGTGTCTGCGCAGACCTCTATACAGATGTCTGCATGCAACCCCACTAAGTGTCCACACAGACAGTCCATGTGGTATCTACACAACACAGGCTAAAGTGTGCATGCACAGAATCTGTAGGTATGTGTATAGGTATGTGACATGGCCTCCAAGTGGACCCCAAGCAGCCCAGAAAATAATATCATTTAGAACAACCATGCATCTGTGGTGTCCACAGCTGTCTGCAAGGGAGCGTAATCCCGATTTAAGGCGTACTAAACTGCAACTTGATCTGAGCTGGCAGTCATGGCAATTTAATCACCCAGTGTGTGTCCATGTAGCACTGATGACCAAGATGCCAAAACTGTCCATTTGTTGATTTGCCATTGATTCCAGGAGACTTGGTGCAGTTCTGTAAAAAATTCAGTATGAACATTTGACCTTGATCACAACTGAAAGTCTGCAATGTATTATTTTATTTTCTTGGCTGTGCCAAATGAACTAAACTACCCGAAGAGATAAACGTGATGACACATGAACATATGGCTCTCCAAGTGCAGAAGTATTTTATTTGGCTTGTTTATCCTATGAGCTCAAACTGCGATATCAATCTGAAACTTAAGTTATTTACTGACAACCTTTTCTCCGTCCTGACAAACACTAGAGATATTTTTCAACTCTCGGCTGCGTTTTGACAGCACGAGCTGTGAATTCTGGAGAGCGGCCACTGGCCACCTAGCACCTGGAGCTTAAACGCCTTGGCCAGAGACATCACAGTAGCAGCAGCTGTCAGTGGAGGGGCAGATGAGTCTGATTTACTTCCTTTGCACAGTATTTTTGCTCATTTGGGACTTTAGACGATGATCCTTGAGTCACAAGCCTGTTTCTCTAACTGGTGGGCTGCTGCCGGTCCGGTGAGTGGACCGTGGCCAACTAAGCAGCTGCTGGAAGCTGAGAAGCACAAACCGGCGTGGCTTCAGCATCTGCAAGCTTCTCAGCTAATCTACATACATAATGCACTCTTTTTCTCTAAATCCTCGTTCACAGTGCGAGAGATCCACAAGTCCGTTGAAGTCCAATCATTTCCTGCAGAGCTTGTCCAAAAGAACATTTTTGGCTGACATGTAGACGGTCTGTGAGAGTAATGAGCAACAAAACTCTGCTTTTCATAGTCATCTGCTGCCAACAGCGAACACAATCACTGCTTTTTTTCCTCCCAAAGTTATCTTGTGTAATGAAAACATACTACACTTGCATTCATCATGAGAGTGAGGGGTAAAATTTAGAGTAAATTCCATTTATTACAGATCAACCTACTGAAGCTCTACGTTCCTGGTAGTCTTTCAAACTCAGCCAACCAACACTCCATGGAAGTGCCTTCAATTGGCTTCTGAATACTTAGTCAGTATAATTACAAGGCCAGAGGGTATCACCTCTGACTGCCCAGTGGGCTTATGGGATAATACTTTAAAGAACATTGGCATTATGAATTAATAGCACCTCTTTCCCAGTTCTCCCAACCTACCTGGTCTAATTTGCTCTCATCATGAACAGTATGTAAAAGAGTCTGACCTTTGATCTCCTTACTATTATAGTGCTTAACAAAAGTCTGCACTTATATCATGTAACTATCCTCCATTAGCACTCAAAGGTCATTTTTTTTGCC